ACTCTCACATGTATTTGTTTTTCAAGGATCTTTTAATCGTTTATATGGAGTCCCCAGCCAGTCTTCACTAATTCCACAATAGTGCCTGGGGGATCATCATTCACCCTTGGACATGGACAATTTAACTCAGTCCACATTGGAGCTATTTTTAAAGCACCTACTGTGTGCTGCAGTATAAGGATGTTCAGGAGCGATTTGGTCCCTGCCCAAAGTCACAGAACAAATCAATAAAACCGACTCTTCTCCTTCCCACATACCCCTACTCAGTAGCACTTAGAGCAAATTTCAGTGAAACCACTAAGAAATGATCCCATCACTTTGGAGTATTTATATCTACTTTGGTGTGGTCATTTTAACATTCAGAAAGCTGTATTAAAAAATAATTGATGTTGCCAAGATGCTAGGATAGATAAAGCCCACTCCTAGATTGTTCACAATCAACTAGTTTAAACAAAGGCTAACTGCCTGCTGTGTTTCCTCAGAATTCTGAACTAATCATCAGCAGCGCTCCTTGTAAATGGCCAAGTCCCCACGAACTTGGGCGTTCAGTGTTTTCCTTATACCTTCCTTTGGGATCAGCGAGAAAAACGTGGTCCATGGAACAAAAGTAGTAGCTTAAAAAGCAGAATCCAAACTGCACATTCCCGCGTTCCACCTGAAAGCCGGTGAAGCAGCGCTGTCTCTCACACGGGGAGCAAAGGCGCTGAGGGGAGGTCATTGTCGGCTTTGGGGCCATTACACCATTAGGGTCTCTAGTGAGAACAGACAAATAAAAGCTGGTGTTACACCAAGCTGCCCACCTGACTTGGGCCTGATTGACAACAATCCAAATGACAAAACAGAACAATAGTTGGTTTTTCAACCTAATACACATTTCTAGGATGCTAATTGACTACATGGAATTAATTATTTGTTGTTGTGAATAATATAGCCACCAACTGCTGAGGATCTACTATTCTGAAGCAAGCACATGCGAGGTGCTTTACATACTAGACTGTTTCTCCTTCCAACCACCTTTTAATTCTAGTTTCTACTTTTAAAGATGAAAAAAATTGAGTATCAGAATTATTAAGTAATCACATTAATAAGCCACTGTCCTAGTCAGGGTTGGAGATGAGGGAAACCAAATGTGAGCTCTTGTGGATTACCTGCTTTATTAATTGCTTCCTATAGGCAGGCAGAACCGGCCCTGGTGGTCTAGTCGTTAAGATTCAGCGCTCTCACCACCACGGCCAGGGTTCCCTTCCCAGTCAGGGAACCACACCACCTGTCTATTGGTTGTCACACTGTGGTGGTGCTTGTTGCTGTGATGCTGAAGGCCATGCCACCAGGATTTCGAACACCAGCAGGGTCACCCATGGTGGACAGGTTTCAGCAGAGCTTCAAGACTAAGACAGACTAGGAAAAAGGACCTGGCCACCCACTTCCAAAAGAACTGTCTATGAAAACCCTATGAATAGCAGCAGAGTATTGGAGCCTTGTCTGATCTAGCACCAAGATGGTGCAAAACAGACCGGGTAGACTGGGCAGGGTTCTACTCTGATGAACACAGCGTCACTAGCAGTGCCATCAATTGGATGGCACTAACAACAAATATGCAAACAAGTGGATGGACTGCTTAAATTTTGATTTCAAAGTATAGCATCTATCACAGAATTAGCTAATAGAACCTAAAGCTACCTGCATACTTTATAAAAATATCTTGATTCACTACCATAATATATACAATAGTCAATGGAGACCGTTACTTCTATTACTAATTTATAACTAGATACAGGCTCTATTTGCTGACCATACTGCTGTGCTGTCATTATAGTTAGGAATAAAATATACCTCGCCCTTTCCTCAAAACCTTAAATTAGATGTAAGTTAGAATAGTTAAGCAAAATAATAGGATATTCCCATAGGTTTGTCTTCTAAGTTTCAGAACTCGTGTGGCTTATAGTTGTAAAAGAGTTGTACATAAATTCTTCTAATAAAGGCTTACCTTTAATTGCCTAGCTGAGACAAGTTACAAATGAAACCAGGAGCAGTGAACAACAGCCCAGATAAATTGTAATCCTTCTAGTCTGATTACAACTGCCCACTTCAATTTTCAGCTTCCAGACAAGGCAGTCGTATAGGGAATCTTACATCTGCTCAAATTCCCGACTGCATGCTTGAATCTGTGTCTGAGGGACCTCATCTTTGGCAATACCACGAGTCTGATGAGGATGGTATTTTTGCATAATTGATACAGAAAAGCAGAAACAGAGAAGATGGTGAAAAAGTTGTCCAAGGTTTAACGATAGAGAGTAACCAGGCTAAGTGGGATCAGAGGGTCCTTAAGGACACAAAGAAAGCTCCTCCCTTAATATGTCCTTTCCACGGAGAAAAATCACCATTTCCAGCTCGTCACATAGTTTAACAGAAAGGAACAGGGTTTTTTTTTCATATTCATAAATTATAATATCTGTTTTATAGGTTAAGCAATAATCTCTTCAGATATTTATATTACCGGGGAAGAAAGGCAAAGTAGAAACAAAGTGTTTTTGGAAACTCTGTTGGCTGCTCCCATAACTCAAAACTGACAGAGACTATAAATTAGAAATTTCGGGGGAGAGGTTAATATATGGTTTTGGATTATTTTGATCCTCTAGGGAAAATAACAAAATTAAGCTTAGTATCTCTATCTTTGCTGTATCTCAAATTCAACATTATTTGGAAGTGTTTATACTTCAGAAGTTCAGAAACAGGAAGATGATAACTAGTTTTTTTCTTTTCCTCTCTCTCTCTCTCTTTTTTTGGTGAGGAAGATTGGCTCTGAGCTAACATCTGTTGCCAATTTTCCTCTTTTTACTTGAGGAAGATTGTCCCTGAGCTAACATCTGTGCCAATCTTCCTCTATTTTGTATGTAGGATGCCGCCACAGCATGGCTTGATGAGCAGTATATAGGTCCACGCCCAGGATCTGAACCCAGGAACCCCAGGCCACTGAAGTGGAGCACGTGAACTTAACCACTACAGCACGGGCTGGCTCTGATAACTCTTTAAAACTAGTGTCATTAACAAAATGTCCTTAGGAAATCCAACTAGAAATAATCTCTAAACCAACATATTTCTGAACACATGATCTTAGATTCACCAGGAACAAAAAAGATTTCATAGATAAATTATTACAGTACCCATGTCTGTGTCAAGTGTCTTTAATATGTAAGGAAATATATCAAAAAACATTCAATTAGATTTGATTTAAAGGAGCATCAAATACTCTACAGAGAACAACTGAGAATTCATTTAGATATGCTGCACAATTGGCCTGTATGTCTAACTGGGTCCCATACAAAAAATGACCCTAGGAATACTGCTGATCCATTTGTGTGTGTGTGTGTGTGTGTATACAATAAATAAAAGAAACTTCCTGTTTGTTCCTATGTTATTTATTTCTATGTCATTAAATTCTAAAGACACATTCTAAATGCGTCTTTTGGTTCAATTTTTTTTTCAAAAGAATCGACCCATTTATGATCTTTGCATGGCAGTTTGTATTTTCAAGTTAAATGTCACATGGGCAGTGTACTCATATGGGAAAGTGATGATTTTCTCATTCTACCATGTCTGTAGAGATGATAACTATAAATCATTTCCTAATGCAGTCCACCTCTTTATACGTTTTTACTTATAATGATATCAAATTTTTCTACATGTAATTTTTTTATTGAAGTAACATTGGTTTACAACATTATACAAATTTCAGGCATACAACATTATATGTTTTGATCTCTGTGTAGGTTACATCCTGTTCACCACCCAAAGACTAATTACCATCCATCACCACACGCATGCGCCTAGTCACCCCTTTCGCCCTCCTCCCTCCCCCTTTCCCCTCTGGTAACCACCAATCCAATCTGTTTCTCTGTGTTTGTTTGTCATTGTTTTTATCTTCGACTTATGAGTGAGGTCATACAGTGTTTGACTTTCTCCCTCTGACTTATTTCACTTAGCACAATACCCTCAAGTTCCACCCATGTTGTCAAAATGGCCGAATATCATCATTTTGTATGGCTGAGTAGTATTCCATTGTCTACATGTAATTTTGTTCACGTAGTTTTGTCCATGTAATTTTGATGTTTCCATTCAAATGATGAAATAGAAATAACTAAATTTATTTTAAGAAACGGAGAAAAATGGTTAAACAAATTGTAGTATATTCATACCATGGAATACTACTTGCCAATAAGAAGGAATGAACTATCAATATAGGCAATGACTTGAATGAATTTCATTAACAGTGTGCTGAGAGAAAGACACCACACACAAAATAATACATACTATATAATTCAATTTATATAAAAATTTTTAAAAAGGCAAAACTAACCTTTCATAATTGAATTTAAAAAGTGATTGTGAGGGGCTGGCCCAGTGGCATAGTGGTTAAATTTCCATGTTCGCTTCAGGCACCTGGGGTTCGCAGGTTCGGATCCTGGGCAGAGACCTAGCACCACTTGTCAAGCCACTCTGTCATGGCATCCCACATAAAGGAGAGGAAGCTTGGCACAAATGTTAGCTCAGTGACAGTCTTTCTCAATCAAAAAGAGGAAGACTGGCAACAGGTGCTAACATCTCAGGGCCAATCTTCCTGACCCCCCCCCAAAAAAAGTGATTGTGGAGTTGGGACGAAAAAATCAACTAGAAAGGAATAAGAGGGGACTTTTTGGGATATTGAAAGTCTTCCATATCTTGGTTTGGGTGGTGATTACCTGGGCACAAACAATTGTGAAAACATTGAACAACACTTAAGACCTGTGCATGTTATTGTATGCAATGGTATCTCAATTTTTGAAACGTAATAATAAGAAAAATACAGGGAGTCATTGTATATCCATCAGTAGTAACAATTGAAGGAGTTGGGATTTTTTAATTTAAATTATCTTATCAAACTCTCTTAATTTCTCTCTTGCCTTTCTGACTCCTCTGTATTAATTATCTATTGCTGCATAATAAATCATCCCAAAACTTAGTCGTTTGAAAGAACAATTTATTATTTCATGGTTTCTGTGGGTCAGATATTCAAATAGGGCACAGCAGAGATGGTTCGTTTCTTCACGTTATCTGAGGTCTCAGCTGAAAGACTTTGAGATTGGGGCCAGGAATCATCTGAAGTTTTGACTGAGGCAGGAGAATCTGCTTTCAAGGTGGCTCACTCATCCGGCTGGCAAGTTTGTTCCTTTCCACATGGCCTCTTCATGCATTGGCCTCTCCACAGGGCTGTTTGAGGATCATCACAACATGGTGGCTGCCTTCAACCAGAACGAGAGATTCAGAGACTGAGAGAACAGGGTAAAATCTATCCTTTTCATGACACAGCCTCAGAAGTCACTTAGCAACACATGAGCCACATTCTATTATTTAGGAGGGAGTCACGAAGTCCAGCCCACATTCAAGGGGACAAGAATTAAGATCCGTCTAGTGAGAGGAAGAGTATCAAAGAATCAAAGAGTATTGAAGACATATTTCTTCATGGCCTGTACTTTCTTTGCTGATCTCCTAAATGCTGGTATTCCTCAGGGATCCTTTCTCCGTCCTCTTTCTTCTTACACTACGCATTCCATGGCTTCACTGAAGACGCCGAAATCTATCTGTGGAGGCCTAGACTTCTGTCCCTAGTTCTAGCTTTGCAAATGTCAATACCTACTCACATCCCCCATTGGAATGTCCCAAGTGAAACTTAAACTCACTCTGTCCTTGAACTCCAGAGAGAAATCAAGCAAGATAAACATAAAGTGTCCAGAGACTTTAGTGGCAAGATAGTCATTGGTTGGCTTTGCCAAGAGCAATCCCATATAGCAGTTTCAACACTCCAGTGAGTTTAAGTGTGAGAGGAAGGTGACAAAGGGGGAGAAAACGTGTAAAGTATTTATGGAAAACCTCAGCTGTGAAGGGAAGGAAAGAGAAAAAGCTGTAGCTAAAGGGATAATACAAAGTCGGGGGAAAGTTCGCCTTTCTTTTTGGACAATTGATCAGATAAATTCCTTGAGGTGGGAGAATTAGTCAGAAGCAAAGCCCCTTCACAGGCTGAGATAGGAGGAAAGAATGTAAAACGAGATAAAACGCAGTTAAGTTTGCAGGGGTGGGAGGAAGGCAGTTGAGAGAATTCATATCTTCTGGCCTCTTCTAGGATATGTACACAATGAAGGTTGTATCAATATTTTTCTTCTAAATGATGCAGATTTTAGATATAGAGCCATTCTACTTCTATATCCTATCCCACAGCACATTTTATTGCTCTATCTTGTAAATATAGATAAGTTTTAAGGAAACCACGTCATTTTCTGAAAAATTTCCCTAAAAGAACAAAAACATAATTTTCTGTAAATCACAATAAGAATAATGTCTGGAATGTCCGGAATATTTTTATAGGTTACAAAGTTAAATATTATCTCTTTAAATCTAACCAAAACTCTACCAAGTTGGGATTTCTTGAGCGGTTAAGTGACTTGCTCAAGACTACATTTTTCCTTCTTGTTCTAAGTCCAGTGCTCTTTCTATTTCTGTTTTAGCTAAATGACTTGGTTTTTTTTTTTTTAGCTTTATTGAAGTATAATTGATATACCAAAAATTGCACAAATTTAATGTATACATCCTGCTAAATTGGATGTTTTGTTGTATAGAGAAACTGCATTAGTACATTGCACATATAGGCAATCATACATGTTAAGAGCATACAGTTCTATGTGCACAGATATGACTGCCAAGTCCTGGGGTAGCAAGACAGATGCTTTCTAGAGTCTGGACCATAAGCACCAGGAGGGTAGATACCAGGCTTTCTTAATCACCGTTGGTCCCACAGTACTCAGCACAGTACAAAGGACATTGTACAGTTTTAATAAATATTTATAAATCCTAAATAGTCATACAATTTACATGCAAGATTCATCTGGATTCTTATATTCCTGACATAAACAATATTTCCTTAAAATCCTAGAACTGCATAGTTTGTATGTAAATTTTTATTTTTGTTTTAAGAGTCATCTTTGGGAATAACTCAACCAGGACACTTTGGATGAGTTATAATGAGGTTTTCCCTTTTTTTCCAGCTTTATTGAGAAATAATTGACATACATTGCTGTATAAGTTTAAGGTGTACAGCATGGTGGTTTGATTTACATATATTGTGAAATGATTACCACAGCAGGCTCAGTTAACATCCATCTTCTCATATAGATACAATAAAAAGAAAAGAAAGAAGAAAAGAATAAAGGAAAAAATTTTCTCCTTGTGATCAGAACTCTTAGGATTTATTCTCTTAACAGCTTTCCTATATATCATACAGCAGCATTAGCTGTCGTCATCATGTTGTGCATTACTTCCCTAGTACTTATTTATCTTGTAACTCAAAGTTTGTACCTTTTGACCACTTTCCTCCAATCCCCCCTAAATGATAACATTAAAAACACCACAAAGTCATTTAAAATATCCTATGTGTTATAAACAAACTATACAATTTCCACTTTGACCACTAATCTTCCTCCTTGTTAGAATGAGTCTCTGACTCTAAGCCAGATTGACATATTTTATCATTTTTATAAGATACAGTTTTCCATAGACTCCATATCCAGTCATCACCACCTTCAAAGACATCTTTGGCCCCCAGACAAATCCATGGAGGCCATGTTCTTTTTCTCTGACCATTCTTCTGCGAATTCTCTCTCATTTTTATGCAGCTGTGAGTGCAAACACTGGACTCAGCTGCCTGTGTTCCCATTGGCTCTAATTCTTACCAGCTGTGTGGCATGGACAAGTTCCTTCACCTCTCCCAGCCTCCATTTCCTCTCTGTAAAATGTGAATATTACAAGTACTTACCTCACAAGCTTGCTATGAAGTGTAAATACAATAGTTCATGAAAATACGGAGAACATTTCCTGGTATGGATAAGTAAGAATTGTTAGCGATTATCCTAGCCCTGCCCTCTTTTCTTATTCACCTTTCCCTTGCTATACATTATCTTTCTGTGCAATTTCTCTGGCAATTCTGTCCTCCTCGTTTCTTGTCTTGTTCTGCACTTTCCACAGAAAGTATGACTCCCCCGGTTCTTCTTGTATACTCTCTGCCTGATATCTTTGAAGTTTCGGCTACTGAATTAGTACTTTGTTTCACATTATAATTTTATTTTTCCTCACCACCACCCTCTGTACTCCCACCCGACTCTGTAATTGGGACTTTTCCAGAATGACCCCTAGAGAAAGGTGATACATCCCTCCTTTCTTCTAGTGTTTTCTATTTCTTTAGAGCACCCCCCCATTTGAACTTTACCTCACCTACTACTTCAGAGAAGTGACTAACTCAAAGGCTGCTTGTCACCCACCCCAGCCAGTCATAAAAGGACTGCCATTTTATTTATAATCTTTTGCTATGTAACTTTGTGAAGGTTACATCAAAATAAGTAGAACATTTACACTTGATTTCCCCAATTGGTTTCAAATTATTTCACAGAAGTTACTGAACTGCTGGCACTTCAAAAACAATGTTTTGATCATCTAACATTAAGCTATATTAGTTAAGACTTCACAGAAAAAAATTCACATTTCTCAAATATACTCCTAAATTATCACATGTGGTATGGTGGATGTCATTGTTTTGGGCCTAAAATCACTCTTTGTGTTGGGGAATGATTCCTTACCCACTCCCAACATGGCCTTGTGGGGCTGCTGCCCACCCCGTGACCACAGAAGTGGGCCTTTGGACCTGGTCTGGCCAACTGTGGCATCCCTGTCCCTACCCTTGGTTTAAGGGTCAGGCACATGAAAGACAAACCAAAGCAGGATGGATCAGAATCCTCCCATCAGGCGTGAGATAAGGGGATGCTGGGGCGGGGTGCAGTCCTCTCTTCCTTTTGGAAGGGGGGCTGCCAATTGTAGGGTTTCTTTCCCACAACTTGCAGGGAGTATTTTCATGACAGGTGAGAATAAGGCCAATAGGCAAAGAGAAATAGAGGCTAGAAGAGCCCAAAAATAGGGAAGGTTTGATGACATCGTTTAAACCTCAGTAAATGATTATGCCTGAAGCAAGCTCATCTTTGAACATCCCAAGGCAGGAGATTGCCTTGTTCACCACTGCATCATCATTCTTGGCATACAGGAGGCGTTCAATCAATATTTGTTGAATGGTTAAATAAATAAACAAGTCAATAGATATTCCTTTTGTTTGAATGAGTTTTTTCTATCCCTTGAAACTGAAGGTACCCTGACTAATGCACCCACCCAGGTGAATCTCAGGATTGCCCATGAGCATCCTCATCTCTACAATAATAGACCCTCAGTAGCATAAGAAAAACATATAGAAGTGACAAGTGAGCCATGAGTTCATTTCCAACAAGATAGGAATAGTAAAACAACAGATTTTTTTTCTGTCAAATTGTGTAGGAAGATATGAAGCCATTGTAGGGCAGGACAGACATTTTATAAGGTGTCTATTTACGATACTTTTGCAATTTGACATGTGGGGAAATGCCAAGTGCTCTTTTATGATCTACACCACCTTTAGCTTAGGAGTATTTGTACTAATAGAGCATCATGCTCAACTAGTTAATGCTACTTGAAACTTTTGTTGCTCTTTTATTAGCCTGAATCATAAAATTAAGTCGTATGTTAACAGGTGCTCATGCGTGCTGGTTTTTAGCAGGGGTGCAGGTAAGAATCACCTATACGGCATTTTAAACGTGGTTTTTTTTTACATTTCTGATTTATTTGTGTTTGGGGTAGATTCTGGGCATTCAGTATATTTGAGATGTACTCTTGTGATTAAGTACGACTCTAAAAACCTGCCCAGAACACGCCCCAAGCTAAGCTCAACACTCTTGCCATCCCTTACAGCAATAGGAAACTCCTTTTCCAAAGACGCACTGTAATTTTTCATTTTGTTTCTTCTTGGTAACTCCATCTCAGTAGTGAGCTGCCTGTGCCACATGTTTTCTTTCTCTCACTTTTTTTTTAAAGATTGGCACCTGCACTAACATCTGTTGCCAATCTTCTTTTTCTTTCTTCTTTTCCCCAAAGCTCCCCCGGTACACAGTTGTATATTCTAGTTGTGAGTGCCTCTGGTTGTGCTATATGGGATGCCACCTCAGCACAGCCTGATGAGTGGGGCCATGTCTGTACCCAGGATCCAAGCCAGCGAAATCCTGGGCCGCCGGAGAAGAGCGCGTGAACTTAACCACTCGGCCACAGGGCTGGCCCCGCAACATTCTTTCTTGACAGAGTAAACATTTTCATCCAATAAACATTTATTGAGTGCTTAGTTTTATCACGTAACTTGGTAGGCACTGATGGTAAAAAGGCAGGGTCCTGGCCTCAAGGAGCTCAAACCCAAGCGGAGGGAGACGGACACATAAACAGAGAAGTGTAATAAAGTGTTACATGTGCAAGGATAGAATCATGTGTAAGGCACAGCAAGGTGTAGAGGTCAAAGTGACTCCATTACAGAGTGTCACAATCTAAGGGGCACAGACCGAGTAGTTGGGAAATGTGTGGCATGGCAGAATGGTCATTCATGCCTTGTGGTTATTTATCTATGAGGTGACTCTGGAATGTGTCGGGTCAGGTGTACCGGTTCAGAATTACCACGGCACCCAACCAATGGCTCCTCCCCTATGCCTAGACCTCGGCATAGTCCTTCCTAGTTTCACTTTATTGCTCCTCTGCCCCAGGGTGGTAAGGTATAATCAGTCCAGGACAAGAGGAGGAGGGACAGATTGACTCTAAATGCCCAACTTTATTGCCGGCCCCTGGTGGCCCGCTCTCTGTCAGCTCCCCTGAACACTGAAGAACCGAGGTCTGGCTGGAGTCCCTGAAGTCTCTCCCTGTCAGTCATTAGCAACTTTCTTCAACATCTATTTTTTACTTAGTAACATTTTTCGTTCATGAACAATCTGGGGTATTTTTTCAATATCATGCTTTTTTTTTTTTTAAAGCTTGCTGTTGTCTTTTTTTTTTAAGATTGGCGCCTGAGCTAGCAACTGTTGCCAATCTTCTTTTTCTTCTTCTTCTTTTTCTCCCCAAAGTCCCCCAGGACATAGTTGTGTGTTCTAGTTGTGAGTGCCTCTGGTTGTGTCATGCGGGATGCCACCTCAGCATGGCCTGGTGAGCAGTGCCATGTCGGCACCCAGGATCCGAACTGTCAAAACCCCGGGCCGACGAAGTGGAGCATGAACTTAACCACTCAGCCACGGGGCCGACCCCTCGTGTATTATTTTGAAGTTCATGTATTATTTCAAGTTCTGTTCCTAAAATCCTATGATTCATATTTTAAATCAAAATGATTTAACCTTCTTGTACACCCTGTTTGGAGAGAGCAGGGGAAGCAACACAAGAGAAGAAATGGAAGGAAATGTGAAATGTTTATTGAAGCAAGTTGCTTGAGGTTTAACAAGAATGAAACTAGCACTTAGAAAAAACTTATCAAAATGTTAAAAGCGGTTGCTTGGGGGCAGTGGGACACAAATGATATTTCCCTCTTCTTCTGATTTTTCTGTTGTCCCCTCATGGGCACATTACATTATAATGTAAAACAAACAAACAAAAAACCCTTAGTTTTTGAAAGAAACTCACTTCAACTGTTCCATAGGTTGCATTTTTGCTCCCTCCCTCTTTATGAGATAAAATGTTTCCATTTTATTTACTAATTTTTATAGTAATCTTTCCTCTGTGGATGCTCATCTAGAAGAGAAATGAATTATGCCATGTAAATGTTCTATATATTGACCAATGATGGTTTTTGGTCAGATTTCCAGCTTATGCTAACTTCCAAAGTGACAACTGACTTGGCACTCTTCTCCAATATCCAAAGAGAGATTCCACAGCCCTGGTCACAGGTCAGACATCCTCTGTTTACATACAAAGTCTACACAAAGGTCTATCTCAAGCTCCCCCTCTCTCTGAAGATTTTCTCAAACGTCCAAGCCATTGAACTATTTCTTTTTGGAACTTCTATTGCATTATATCTATCACATAAGTTTTATTTATATGATTTGTCATTGTTTCATCTGATAGTCTTCACTTAGAAAGCATTATTGCTTACCTACTGTGTGCTAGAAACTGTTAGCACTAAGGAGAACAAGTAGGATGGATTGCAGAAAATAGACATTTAGAATAGAGTGTAATACACAATAGCAGTTCATAAAAATGCACAATGCTTCGCAAATCCAGAAAGGGAGTAACTTACTCTTTGCCCGTCCAGATTGTCATCTGCAGGCTATGGAGCAGCAATCTTCCCATCTTTCCACCCCACACCTTGACTGCCATCCCTAAGAAGTTGCCATGGGCGTGTTAGAGTCCAGTGCACCCACTGGCATAGTGGTTGGAAGTGGGGCAAGCTTGCTTGCTCCTTTTTTTCTTAAGTTTTCACCCATAATCAAAGGTAGCAGGCTGAGTCAGGGGCTACTTCTGTAGAAGGCTTATTTATGGGCTCCTGCTGCTCTTATTTGATGACAGGTTTCTTTTTTCCAGTTTCTTCCTTCTGTGTGGCCATCTAGAGTGCAGTACGATTTGGGATGATGACCAAGAGTTGTGACAAGGCTCAGGATGGGTGCCTAACCTGGGCTTTGTGCTTCAGCTCAGAATCACAATGCAACCTGCAATGGTGTGTGGGTTTAAAGTCCGGCTAGCAACTTACCTCATTCCCTATGTGTTTATCTCCCTTGGGAAACTTATGAGGAAGGGTGACTGTTGTTTCGAGCGGATTTGAGTATTCTGAATACCCCTTTCATAATACTATCAACATCCTCCTCAATTTCTTACATTCGCCATTTTGGGTAGAGATTGGGTTTTATATTTATTTTATAGTCACCTAAACAGCAACCAGAGAATTAGGTACATAGCGGATGCTTAATTAAAAAGATATTACAACTTGGTAGATGGAGAAATTCTCTTTGGAGCAGATCTTTATATATCGATTGAATTCAGTTTCAATTATAAAATGCTGCTAATTTTTTTAAAAGAAAGTTTTGTGAAAAGAAGAGAGAGGTATAATATAGTAAGATAAAGGTAGAAATTGCTGAAAGTGTGAGGGGTCATAATGAGCCAGTGGTTCTTCTCCCTGGCTGTGTATCAGAATCACCCATGACGTTCTTTTTAAAAGCCTATGACCTAGACCTTTCTCTAGAGATTCTAATTCAGGAAGTGGGTTGGCATACAGCAACCGTACTTTTCAAAGGCTGCGTAGATGATCTTGATGCATGGCAAGGACTGTAAGCCATTGTCCCAAATTTTAAAAAGAAGGAAATCCAGGCACTAACGCATCTGAAATGAGCCTGGTCCTTCACCCTTGTCAATTAAAAAAAAAGTGAAATTTTTACTTAGTAAAGCTATAGGTGCTCAAACATTCGGAACTTTGGCAAGTTTTATCAAAGATGATTTAAGAGCTGCCCAAGATAATGCTTATCACTTATTGCTTGTGTAAACCTAGCTGTAATTTTCATTTTTTAAAAAATTGATAACAACTTAGGACAGAAATTTAGAGTCGGAGGTAATCAACTCATGTCTCCACCCTTGTTATCCACTCCCCGTAATGAATGCTCAATAAGCCCCTAGTGAATGAGTGAATGAATGATGCTGCTTCCTCATTTTTACAGAGAAGGCTCAGATTAGTTTTGCCAATTGCCCACAGTCTCACTGCTGTGGCGAGTTGATGGCAGTGTCGGGACTGAAAACCAGGTTAGCCCTGTCATCGACTCCTCCCGTCCTGCTACATGCTTTGCTCACTTCCAAACAACTGTTGATTGTTCCAAAAGTTAAATCCGTCCTTCGAGAAGGCTATTAGCTTCCATATAGAGCATTAAAAATAATGGGCTGCACAGGGTTTAAAAGCAATTCTCAAAAAATAATTAACAAAAATACTTAGAGTGGCAGCAACACTACGTGAGTGAAATGGCTTCCAAAGGGACTGCTTTGAAAGGGACACATTTATTTCTTCATTTACACTCTAGTTTCTTAAAACTCAGTCTTTGATTGTACATTTCTAAGTTGCACAATGTTACCCTCCACTTACAGGTGTGCCAATGAGAGGCATCAATGTGCCAAGTTTAGTTTACTAGTTTCCTTCCGGCCACTATCTCACTGGACAAGTTTGGCTCAGAACATCCTACAAAGCAAAAAAAAAAAAGGAAAGTTAACTAAACTTTGATCTGTAATTGGTGTCTCTGTTTTCACATCATACATTTTTAGATAAGACTGCCAGATTGCCTACCTAACTGCCTTTTGTAAGCCGTCCTGTAGAACCAAGAGGAACTGTCGTTTTAGACGCCTTCTCACCACACCCCCTCGTTAAGCCGCCATTGAGAAAACACTTACAACAATGAGGCAGCTCATTGTTGTTGACCAATCTCCCTTCAACAATCAGAAGATTGGAGTAGGACTTTGGTCCTAAATAATAATTTTGTTTTACAATATAATTTTTGCTGCTATCATGTCTTCCAAGAGAAAATAACACAGAACTTGAGTCAACAAAGAAATGCATAAAATGAAAGTTTTCTCTGCTATATTGAGAACAGCTTCTTTGGATAAAAGAGAAAAATGAGTACTAAATTCTAAGACAGGAAAAAGATTTTTAGAGAAATTTCTGTTTTTTACTGATACGACCAAAGTGAGAAAATAGAGCCTCTTTAAACAAAAGTAAAAGTTGTGTGAGATTCGGTGCCATGTAAGAGAATCATTCTGCTTTCTGTTAAGCTTACTTCTCACCCGAGAACAATATCTTCCCCAGAGCACAGCCAAACCACCAAGGATTATGCCGTGTACATCAGCGCATATATCTAAATGGACTGGCAGACAACAGCTGTTGTTTGCCTTGGGAAATTTTTAATTCTTCCCTTCCAAAGCTATAAATTCTGCTGAACATCGCTCCACTTTTATGCTGACCCTCACTATGCTCTATTCATGCAAACAGCACTTGATAGATGTTGTAGCTTGGAGCTGAACTCAACATTTGTTGAGTCTCTAACTATGTACAAGATTCTGTATGAGTCTGGGGCAGATGAAAAGACAAATATCTGATTTCCACTCCTTTCCACTCAAAAGATTGATCTGAAGTCCTTTTCAAGTTTTTGTGTATCTTAAAATAATGTTTCTTTCACCCCAGAATCTCTGGACTAGAACTGCTTAGCTATTAAATGATGAACTTTAAAGCTAAATTTTATTTTATTTTATTTTTTGAGGAAGATTAGCCCTGAACTAACAACCACCAATCCTCTTCTTTTTGCTGAGGAAGACTGGCCCTGAGCTAACATCCGTGCCCATCTTCCTCTACTGTATATGTGGGACGCCTAGCACAGCACGGCTTGACGAGCAGTGCCATGTCTGCAGCTGGGATCCAAAACAGCCAAGCCTGGGCTGCCGAAGCAGAACGTGCAAACTTAACCTAAAGCTAAATTTTAGATTGGGGGAAAATATGCTGTGTACCCAGAAAGCCCAGGAGACAGTTAAGTGGGAGAAATCGAATTTCTTAAATTTAGTGGTTTAGTTTATATTTTGTAGCATGAGACTTTGTATGTAGTTTTGTATGACAATGGGCCTTTGGGCTGGTGTGGGAGGTGAAGTAAAATGTCGTTCTCTTATTGTCACCCCTGACTAGGTCCTGCAAGCACCCTAGTGTCTAAAAGTGTCAGGACACTCTGTTCATTGTGTCAAGAAAAGAAACCTCGCCACTGTGCGCACGATCGTGTGAATGAATATTCAGCACCTCCAGCTCAGATTTGCTGCTAATGATCCAGATTCTGAATTTTCAAGGGCCAATTGTGTGGCCTCCTTCTTGCATGCTGCCTTTCTTTTTTAGCAGTTTCGTTATTTGTTCACACCTCTAGGAGAAGAAGTGGAGAAAGAAAATGAAACATAAATTCACCAACCTTTTTTAACAACATCCTTAATCTTGCCAAGTTCTCTGGTTCCAGGAGGGCTTGTGGGAGAGCATGGAGCACTCAGTGGAAGCTATCTTTTGCTGTGCCATCAGAAAACAAAACACACATCCTCACATCAGGACAAAGTGAATCCTCTTCATATGAAAAGACAGTAACCTAACCTAAGTAAATATTTTACAATGGCACTGCAAAAAAAAAAAAAAAAAAAAAAATCCTGGCTAGAATCAAGATCCAACCATCTGAAAGTTTCAATTACCCAAGTGCTCTGCACCAGCAGAGAGACTGCGACCCTGTACGTGGATGTTTGAGGGTTGTAGAGAACCCACAGAATGGTACACAGCTGAATCAGATCTGCTGCCTTCTTAAACAGGTAGCCTTAAACCAAGAGGCATGAAATTTAGTTTGTTTGTTCTTGATGACTTTCACATAGTTTGCTGACACCATTTTGTAGAGCCTTTTAGGGGGCATTTGAAACTAAGGCTATAGAGTCAAGCCAGTGTTTCCGATGCTGTGTGAGTGCAGTCATGAGAAACTGCAAACACACCCATGCACAGCTTTTGTTTACTGGCGACAGTTTAAGAAACACAGAGCCCCCGTGCAAAACTGTGAAGGAGAGGGGATTTCTCTTGACTTAGGGCCACCTGGCTGTTGAATCCTCCTCTGTCCTGATGGTACAGCGTCCCCCTTGCCCGCCCCCCACATCACAGTGACTGGCTCTTGTCCCCAGCAAAACAGGAGAGGGCAATCCATCAGTGTGAGTGAGATCCAGGCCACATGTGACAAGCTTAATCTCTTCCACCCCTTCCCAACACCGTCAGTATAAAAGTGCAAACCCCTTAGCGTGACTCCCCTGCAGGCACCTCAGCCCTCATCTTCTCTTCTCTGTCCCATCTCCATGCCTGGAACACACCACCCCCTACTATGTCCCATTCAGCTGGTCTGATTTCCTCCAGGAAGCCTGCCTTGACCCCCAGCCTTGGTCAGTTCTGCCTCTCAAGACCCCTTCTAGGGCAGCTGTGCTTCTCCTTTGAAAGTCCCCACATTGTTGTCGGTTCTTCAGTTCTTCAAATGATGTTCTGTTGCCTCCTGGGCTGTAAGCCTGTGTGTCTCTGAGCTCTTACCATACTGTTGCATCTCCAGCACAGAACCTGGCCCACAGCAAGTGCCAAATAAATATGTGATGAGTGAATGATTGAATGAATTAATCTAGTCCAGATATCTACACCAATATCATATCTTTAGAGAATCCTATATCTTTAAACTCCTCAGGAGGCCTTCAGGTTTTTACCCCAGACTAGCTGCTCCCACAGGGAGAACACACCAGGGGCATAACCAGGTCTAAGATGCTGGCTTTAAAATATACTGTTTGAACATCCTTATCTAGAGTTTGTCTTAATTCCAGGATTATATTTAGCAGAACTTTGATACCACTATAAGAATTTAGAGAGCCCTGCAAGATAGGGCCACCACTCATAGTCTCCCTTTCATTCATTACTGAATGTGATTCATATAACCCAATATTCTACGGCCAATCCAATACTTACAAGTCTTCTATCTATGAAAAGATTGAAAGACAGAGAGACTGAATAAATTATTTCATTGGAAAAATTCAGGTTGAATATCTAAATGAAAACAGAGAGAAAGAGACAGTGAGTTAAAAGAATTCCTACATCTGAAATACTTTAACAATTAAAAACTGGCCACCAGGGGCTGGCCTGGTGGCGCAGCAGTTGAGTGCGCACGTTCCGCTTCTCAGCGGCCTGGGGTTCGCCGGTTCGGATCCCGGGTGCAGACATGGCACTGCTTGGCAGAAGCCATGCTGTGGCAGGCATCCCATGTATAAAGTAGAGCAAGATGGGCATGGATATTAGCTCAGGGCCAGTCTTCCTCAGCAAAAAGAGGAGGATTGGTAGTAGTTAGCTCAGGGCTAGTGTTCCTCAGCAAAAAGGGGAGGATTGGTAGTAGTTAGCTCAGAGATAATCTTCCCCCCCCCAAAATAATTCAAAATGCATTTTTTATACTCAGAATATAATTCAATTTAAAAATCATGAAAATTGTAGCTCTTGTAATTTTTTAATTTTAAGAAATAAGCTCTGTGAATTATATAGAATTGTATTTCCCATGACAACTAACAGTTCAAGAAAACTGCCTCTTTGAAATGCAGGTTTGAAAGGCTGAGGTATCAGCTCTCTAAGACAGCTAAACTGAATATGCTGCTTATGATTGCCATCATTGTTTAAAAAAATGAAAATTCTCATAAGGACTACAAAAAATAAAGTTATCCAGATGGTAAGAGAAGGAAAAGACAAGCCATAGACTGGGACAAAATATTTGCACATCACATACTGATAAAAGACTTATACCCAGAATATATAAAGAACTCTCAAATTCAATAATAAAAAAGGGACAAATGATTGGGATAGACACTTCACAAAAGAATATATATGGATGGCAAATAAGCATCTGGAAAGATGTGCAATATTATTAGTCCTTAGGAAAATGAAAATTAAAACCACAATGAGATATCACTACACACTTATTAGAACAACTAAATTAAAAAGACTGAGCATTGCAAGTGTTGACAAGTACATGGAGGAACTAAAACTCTCATACATTGCTGGTAGGCATGCAAAATAGTATAAGCACTTTGGAAAAGAGTTTGGAAGTTTCTTAAGAAGTTAAATATACACCCACCATATGACCCAGCCCAAGAGAAATGAAAGCTTATGTCCACACAAAGACGTGTATGCAAATGTTCACAGCACCTTTATTTGTAACAGCCCTAAAGTGGAAACAATCACATGGCGGAACTACAAAATAATTACTTCAAGAGTAAAAAGCCAGAAAGAAAAAGTACACATGGTGCTATGAAATCCTAGAAAATGCAAACTAATCTATAGAGGCAGAAAGCAGATCAGTGGTTTCCTGAAATACGGTAGGGGAAATGGGGAGGGGTAGGAGAGATGGATTACAAACGGACAGGAGAAAATTTTGGAGGGTGATAGATATGATCATTATCTCGATTGTAGTGATGATTTCATAGATGTATACATATGTCAAAACGTATTAAATCGTACACTTTAAATATGTCCAATTCATTATATGTCAATCATACCTCAATAAAGCTTCTGAAAATGAAAAAAAATAGGTAGATGTGGTCAGTATTTGTAGTTTAAGTGGAGCCTGAAAAACAATCAATTTTTAACCAAGATGATATTTAAAGAGCAAGTGTGTATAATAAGTTAGTGATGACGCCCTGAAAAGTCTGAGTTTGACCTTCAAATAATGGCGGACATTTTTCGCGGCTACCGCAAGGAAGTTTCCTGATTTATTTTTACTTCATCTCTACTAAGTTGTAAACAAGGTGTATTTACTTTCTTGTGACCAATGAAACCCTGGCCATTTCCTCCCTAGGATGCTTTTAACCATGACAGTTCTGCTTTCCATGTCCTAGGATATTTCACTAAAAGAAATTCGTGAACTTAATACAGAAATTACATGTATCACATATTTCATTTGAATTTTCGAGATGGCTGAAAATGAATTTTTCCTTGTCTACCAGTTTTATGGTATTAAATAAATCTTCATTTCTTCATTCATCCTTGAAGACACCATTTAAGTTTAATCATCCACATACATGAGCCACAGTCAACACAATAACAAAAAGAAATAAGAGAAATGATCAGGGCAATATATTTTAATGTAGTGGGATTTAATTTCCAGATTTCTTGAAATATAAAATATGAAGATACAATAACTAGTTCGTCAATCCTTAAAACAGCTTCTTAAGAGAAATACCATGGACTTCTCATATAAGATAACGATTGAGCTTATGCATTTGCCTATCCTCCTTCCCAAGAGCCTATTGAAATGGCCATAAAGAAATAAAAAAGGGAGAAAAAAAAAGAATAAGCCTGTAAGAGTAAAGAGAAAGGGAAGGATCGTCAGCACAGGAAAGAGATCAAGAAATATCTGGATGTTGGGAAGAGGAAGGGGGCATGGTGAGGGGAGAAACAGCCCTGACTACCCCCAGAAGGAAGGGTTCCAGAGGCAGGATCCCAAGCAGAGCCCTAGGGAGGCCCTGGGCTCTGCATCTGCAGGTATTGAGGGCAAAGTTCAGAAGCGGACCTGAAAACTGGGGACTTAACTCAAGATCTCTTTAGAGAACAGTTGTACCCATCATCTCTATCTCCACCTCCACTCTTCAACGCAGAGCAACACCCTCACACGCCACCCTGACATTTATCCCCGTGCTCTTTTCTAAAGAAATGAAACAAACTGAGATTTGCCCCAGAGTAAAGTTTCTCCAATTCTGGAAGTTGGAAGTCACCAGAAGCCTGCCAATCATTATATCCTGTCCCATTGTCTAAGTATGAATGTCAACCAACGATCACAGAATGTAGAAGTAAAACCAATAGCACAAAACAGAAGGACCAAAATGAATAGCCCTAAAAGGAACAGGGAGAATTTGGGAACCAGAAGAGAAGTGGTTAAAATTTTGAATCAGTATCCTCAGGGCTGTCAATGAAGACATCACATCCATAAAATGAGAATTGGAAGCTATCAAAATAGTAGATTGGAGCAAGAAGTCAGATGATTCTGAGAGAGAGCTCTGTAAAGGAAGTAGATTCTTCACGGTATGATGATTGAAAAACAGGATATTTTTGAGGATATGCTGAAAACACATTTGTCTTTTAGGCTGGAAATCTCCTTTAAGTGGCACAAAGATCTCACCTGACTTTGAGCCTGTAGAGAAGAACCTACAGTGAACAGTATTTACAAAGTCACAGCAACGCATATGCTGTCCATTGATAGCTCAATCAACATATAGACACGATATAGGAAAAATAATTTGATACAGGATAAAAATTAACATTTTTATCACATTGACTTCGACAATGTGAAGTGTACACTGTCCAAAAGAGGGAAGCAGAAGAGAAGGAGTAAAGGTGGAGGGAATGCTAATAAAGTTGTATCCTCTTCTTTCATAGGATAGAGCCAAGAGACTGTCTCCAAAAATAGTGGAGGAAAAAAGGAAAAAAGGTACTGAGGCAGCAAGTAGAGACCTAATTATCTTATTTATATTTAAAATAACATATTAGCATCTAATTAGGGATAATGCAATTGAGCTGTATCCTCATCTTTCACAGCAGGGACCTTTTAGACACTGTCTAAAATTGCTAAGACACAGACGAGTAAGCCTATTACTTAGAGCTGTAATGGTAACGACCCAAGGAACTGAAAGCAGCAATGCATAAGGGTAGATATTTACTTCTGGGGAGAAGTGATGGGTTACTGGCTAGGAGACTTTTTTCCCACAAAAAATCCTCCTGGAATATTTGGATTTTTTACCATGTACTTGAATTATTTTTATACACATTTTTAAAATTCTAAGGTGAGTATATATAGATCATACTGAAATAAGCAGGATCTATTACCCATCAAATACTATAAGAGACTCTCATGACTTGAGAATTTCACATACTCTATCTCATTTGATCTACACCTGGGGTGGGGGTGGGGTTAGGTGCTGCTATCCTTTTGCATCAGTGAGAAACCAAGATGTGGTGCATTTAGATGGCTTCCCCCATGCATATAGGTGATAAGAGGCAGAGGGAAAGCGAGCGGTAGTCTTCTGATGCCATCTCCAGTATTCTTTCCTCTGAACCAGTGGTCCTCAAAAGTTTGGTTTCAGCACTCCTCTATACTCTTAATTAAAATTATTGGGGCCGGCCCCAAGGCCAAGTGGTTAAATTGGCGAACTCCGCTTCAGTGGCCCGGGGTTTTGCTGGTTCGGATCCTGGGCGCAGACATGGCACCGCTCGTCAGGCCATGTTGAAGTGGCATCTCACACGACACAACTAGAAGGACCCACAACTAAAACATACAACCATGTACTGGTGGAAGTTTGGGAGAAAGAGCAAAAAAAAATTATTAAGAAGCCCACAGACATTTTTTTATGTAGCTCTTATCTATTGATATGTACTGTAGTAAAAGTTGAAACTGAGACATTTTAAAATATTAATCCACTTAAAAACCAAATTAAAAACTCATATGGTAATATAAATATTTTAGTAAAAATAACTAGTTTCCAAAACAAAAAATAGTAAAAACAGGGGCATTGTTTTAAATATCTGTAAATCTCTGGATTGAGAGAAGACTGCTGGATTCTCATAACTGCCTCTGCATTCACGGTGTTGTGATGGCACCGATCAAGTTGCCCCTGGGAGGACTCCACTGTACACATAAAAAGGGCAAATGATATCAGTATAATTAAGGAAATAGCTTTGACTTTGTAAATCCTCTGAAAGGGTCTCAGGGACCTCTATGGGTCTCCAGACCATACTTTGGATTCCATTCCTTGAGGGAGCTCCCCAAGAAGTATTCAAAGTCTTCAGTGTTGTTCCCACAATTCATTTCTTGAACCTCAAGTTAGTTCTAATTTTATTATTTGTGTAATAGTTGTTGACAAATCCATCTCCTCTACCAAGCTGTAAACTCATCAGTGTTCCAGCCCCCACCTAGTGCCTAATACCTAGGGAATACTCAGTAAATGTGGAATAAATAAATAAATGAAGCCAAGAAATACACTACAGCAACTAAGGAAAAATAGTATGAACTACAGAGCTCTGAGAGAGATATAGGGTAACCAAACTAGAATATAGTGACATCATCAGGAAAAGAAACCAGTAAGTCAAGCTGAGTGGGTCTGAATCTCATCTCTGCCACTAATTAGCTTGATTTTTTATTTTTGAGCAAGATA